CTCCGGCTGGTGGAACAGTCCCGGAGAACGACCGGGGAGGTGACAGGTACTGGCGCATGCGCAGCGAGTGCGGCGCGGGCCGTGACCGACTGCCGCCGGGGCGCGGAGCAGGGAGGCGAGAGCTGCGCGGAGGCGCCGCCGCCGTGTCGCGGGGGCGAATCCCCGCGGCGGCGGCGGGTCGTGGCAAGCCACCCCCCCGTACCCCGTGGGGGTTCCGCATGGCTCCACCCTTCGCAAACCTCTCGGCCGTCATCCCGGTGTCGCCAGCTCGGCCTGCAGGGGCTGGTTAACGGTGGCACCGAAACCCTTCCTCCACGTAGGGGTCCCGCGGGGGGACGCTGCGCAGCCTCGAAGAGCGGCTTCGTCCAGGCTCGGCGGGAGCCCCGAGCGATACCCGTCTCGGGCAATAAACCGCCCTGCCCCGCCGGGCCGGGGACGTGCCCCGGGGGGGGCGAGGCGGCGGGAGCGCGGCACGCTCCGGCCTGCGGGCTCTCGACGGGCAGGCAGAGCCGGAGAGCCAGGCCCCGTTTTGCAGAGCTTTACTTCTGTTCTTTCAGGCTGGAGTTATTTTTCGGTACATATCCCTCTTCCTTTTAGCGCCATTTCTATTATTGAATAGCACAACTTGCAGGTTATCACTGATGGTGTGGTTTTCGCACGGCCGTGTCTATGCATTGGGATGACACGCTGGTGAAGGACAGCTCGTGGGCCCCCACACAGCGCGTCTCCCAAGCACTGGGCAGCTCGCTCCACCTTGTTATTAAAATGTATTTCAATCTACGAGCCGTCCATGCCTATTTATAGTCATTCCTGGAGGATTTCGTGATCGTTTCAAGCGCATTAATCCCAGTTACTGTTAGGGAATGAACTACCACCTCCTGCCTGGAGATGGTTCCCCAAGTCAAGCCTGAGCCCATTGCCAGGGCCAAGGGGAAACTGCGGGCGCTCCCCGAGGCCATCGTTGTCTTCTGTGGGTAAGGGCTGCCGCGCAGGACACGACCCTCCCTAGCTGCAAGCTGACTACGTGGACTTCAGATCCGCTTTGTGGCGATGGTTCTGTGCGTCCAAGGCTGTGTTCACGTGTGCCTTGAATAAACATGCATCGCTTCTGGCTTTCTCCTCAAATTGTCTCAAGTGGCAGAGGGCAAAGTGGAGGAACGGCATGGGCTGCTGCCGCTCAGCAGGTGCGCATTGCCCCCGCTCAGTGGGGTAGCAGAAACCAGACTGCAAAACAACAGCAAATTGGAAAGAAAAAGCCATAACCTACTCAATGTAAGCAAGCAACAAGGAGATAATGAAAAAGATAATAAGCAAACAGTGCCTAGTTTTCACTTGCCTCTTAATTGTTGCAGCAATACCGCACATGCCTCCATGGTGCAACTTGGACCAAAGCCCCGGAGACGCAGTGACCTACTTCTGAGTGAATGCGTAGCCACGTGAAAAATAAGCCCACGAACCGAAGCCCGGGTGCCCAGCTACCACCTGCGGGCCCACCGGAGACGGGGGCGGCCGAGGCCGGGGCACCCCGCGAGGTGCCGGTCCTCCCTGGCAGGGGCAGGG